ACTGAAGTCATCATCCCGGGAACAGGGTCGGAACAAGATTCAACTATACCAGCAGAAAGTATTGTTGATGGAAAAGATTTGACTACTCCAGTTCAAGAAGAGTTTTCTACCACTACTGTGGACAAGATTAAACAAGATGATATCTTAGAGACACCACCTTCTCCTGGTTCGTTACAAAATCCACCTCCGCCTTACTCACAATGGGATCAACTCAGTTTAGAACAATTACTTGAAAAGAGTAAAGAAGTTCTCACCATGACTAACGGTGGTGAACAAAAGGACGGTAAAATGCTTGACAAGGTAAGAAGTCCCCCTCGAGTACGTGCCAACAATTTTCATACTTTGATGGCATTTGCATTTTTATTCTCACTTGCTAAATATTTCGATGATCGCGAAAAGTCTCGTCTCGAAATTTTTAAGCGGACAAATGACGTAATACTACCCTAGATTGAATATCTGGGTTTATAAAATATTTTTATTATCATTATATTTATTAACGTTAAATAAAACTTTACTCGATTTATTAGATGACCCAATTAGAATCTCTAATATCATCATTACAAGCTATTTTAAACGATCAAACGTTTGCCATGCATGGTTTGAGATCGCAATTGTCAGAGTTAGTACTTTATATTTTCTTTTTTGTATCAAAAATTTTCACTTTAATAATTATGCATACTAAATATTAATTAATAATAATGAATAATAATAAATAATAATAATAATATTATTATTATATTATTATATTATTATATTAGCATTCAGACGGTTCTCAAAAAAATGCAAGACAAACAGGAAACAATAACTAATGAAGAAGTAATGAAACAAGTGGTTACGATGAAGGTACTATGATTATTTTGAATAAATAAATAAATAAATAAATATGAATATTTATTTATAAAATTAATATCATACTAACCTATTTATTCTTAAGGCCCTTACTGAAAATCTTCTCGCATCAAATGAACTCAAACAACAATTTGACGCAAATGTTGCCGCAGCCATGGCGGTGGCTACAAATGTTGCCGAAAATACACAAAGTGTAGAAGAAGAAGTTATATCTCAACCACCAACCGAAAAAAACGATATAATTCCTTCACTTCCTTCATCAGAAAATTTGAACTCACCACCTACTACTATTCAAACTACACCATCATCTCGTCAAACTTCTAGAGTACCATCCCGTGCACCGTCCCGTGCACCATCTCGTGTTCCATCCAGAGCTACTTCTCGAGCACCATCAAGAGCACCATCATCTTCTAGACCAGTATCTCGTACTGTATCGCCAGCCCAGACTCCAATCTCGTTATCGAGATCATCATCTAAATATAAAATTGATCACCCAACATCAGAATATAACCATGATATTCCAAAAATAGATGAGGGAAGTGATGAAGATCTTGAAAATAACGATCCCTCATTTAATAAGATGCGTGATTTATTAAATTCATTAATACATGAAGCCACGGAAGCAGTGGAAAAACCAG